GGAGTTTCGGGATTTTACTTAGTCATTTTTTCGTGAGTCTTATCCGCATGGCGTTCGGGATTTCGTCACCGAGATCGCACTTGGGGATTTCGGGATTTTACGAGGTTGTTTTTGGAAGTCATATCCGCACGGCGTTCGGGATTTCGTTACCGAAATCGCACTTCCGGATTTCGGGAGTTTACTTCGCCGGTTTTCAAAGTTATATCCGCACATGCGTTCGGGATTTCGTCACCGAAATTGCACTTCGGGATTTTGGGTTTTTACTTAGGCGTTTTTCGTGAGTCTTATCCGCACGGCATTCGGGATTTCGTCACCGAAAGCTCACTTTAGGGTTTCATTTTTTGGGAGTCTTATCCGCATGGCGTTCGGGATTTCGTCACCGAAATCGCACTTCGGGATTTCGGGAATTTTACTAGGTCGTTTTTGAAACTCATATCCGCACGGCGTTCGGGATTTCGTTACTGAAATCGCACTTCGGGATTTCGGGATTTTACTTGGTCGGTTTTGGAAGTTATCTCCACACATGCGTTTGGGATTTCATCGACGAAATCGCACTTCGGGATTTTGGGATTTTAGTTTATCGTTTTTTCAAAGACATATCCGCACGACATTCGGGATTTCGTCACCGAAATCGCACTTAGGGGTTTCGATACTTTACTTGGTCATTTTTCGTGAGTCTCCGCATGTCGTTCGGGATTTCGTCACCAAAATCGCACTTCGGGATTTCGGGATTTTACCAGGTTGTTTTTGGAATTCATATCCGCATGGCGTTCGGAATTTCGTTACCGAAATTGCACTTCGGGATTTCGGGATTTTACTTAGTCGGTTTGCGAAGTCATATCCGCACATGCGTTCGGGATTTCGTCACCGAAATCGCACTTCGGGATTTTGGGATTTTACTTAGTCGTTTTTCGTGAGTCTTATCCGCACGTTGTTCGGAATTTCGTTACCGAAATCGCACTTCCGGATTTCGGGATTTCGCTTAGTCGTTTTTCAAAGTTTTATCCGTACGACATTCAAAATTTCGTTACTGAAATCGCACTTCGGGATTTCGAGATTTTACTTGGGCGTTTTTCGTGAGTCTTATCTGCATGGCGTTCGGAATTTCATCACCGAAATCGCAATTAGGGATTCTGGGATTTTACTAGGTTGTTTCTGGAAGTCATATCCGCACGGCGTTCGGAATTTCGTTACGGAAATCGCACTTCGGGATTTCGGGATTTTACTTGGTCGGTTTTTGAGGTCGTATCCGTGCATGAGTTCGGGATTTCATCACCGAAATCACACTTCGGGATTTCGGGATTTTACTTGGTCGTTTTTTCGAGGACATATCTGCACGACTTTCGGGATTTGGTTACTGAAATCGCAATTCAGGATTTCGGGATCTCACTTAGTTGTTTTTGAGTCTTATCCGCACGACATTCGGGATTTCGTCACAGAAATCGCACTTCGGGATTTCGGGATTTTACTTAGTCGTTTTTCGTGAGTCTTATCCGCACGTTGTTCGGGATTTCGTTACTGAAATCGCACTTCCGGATTTCAAGATTTCGCTTATTGGTTTTTCGATGTCTTATCCGTACGGCATCGGGATTTTGATACCGAAATCGCACTTCGAGATTTTGAGATTTTACTTAGGCGTTTTTCGTGAGTCTTATCCGCACGGCATTTGAAATTTCGTCACCAAAGTCGCACTTCATGGTTTCGGGATTTTACTTAGTCATTTTTTGTGAGTCTTATCTAAATGGCATTCGGGATTTCATCACCGAAATCGCATTTTGGGATTTTACCAGTTTGTTTTTGGAAGTCATATCCTCACGACGTTCGGGATTTCGTTACCGAAATCACACTTTGGGATATCGAGATTTTACTTAGTCGGTTTTAGAAGTCCTATCTGCACATCCGTTCGGGATTTCGTCACCGAAATCACACTTCGATTTTACTAAGTCGTTTTTTCGAAGACATATCCGCACGACATTTGGGATTTGGTTACCGAAATCGCACTTCGGGATTTTGGGATCTCACTTAGTCATTTTCGAGTTTTATCCACACGACATTCCGAATTTCGTCACCGAAATCGCAGTTCGGGATTTGGGGATTTTACTTTGTCGTTTTTCGGGAGTCTTATCCGCACATTGTTCGGGATTTCGTTACCGAAATCGTACTTCCGGACTTCGGGATTTCGCTTAGTCGTTTTTCGAAGTTTTATCCATACGACATTCGGGATTTCGATACCGAAATCGCACTTCGAGATGTCGAGATTTTACTTAGGCGTTTTTCGTGAGTTTTATCCGCACGACATTCGCGATTTCGTCACTGAAATCGCACTTCGGGGTTTCAGGATTTTACTTGGTCATTTTTCGTGAGTCTGATCCGCATGGCGTTCGGGATTTCGTCACCGAAATCGCAACTGGGGATTTCGGGATCTTACGAGGTTGTTTTTGGAAGTTATATCCGCACGACGTTCGGGATTTCGTTACCGAAATTGCACTTCGGAATTTCGGGATTTTACTTAGTTGGTTTTCAAAATCATATCTGCACATGCGTTCGGGATTTCGTCACCGAAATCGCACTTCGGGATTTCGGGATTTTACTTAGGCGTTTTTCGTGAGTCTTATCCGCACGGCATTCAGGATTTCGTCACCGAATTCGCACTTCAGGGTTTCATTTTTCGGGAGACTTATCCGCATGGCGTTCGGGATTTCGTCACCGAAATCACACTTCGGGATTTCGGGATTTTACTAGGTCGTTTTTGAAAATCATATTCGCAAGGCGTTCGGGATTTCGTTACTGAAATCGCACTTCGGGATTTCGGGATTTACTTGGTCGGTTTTCGAAGTCATATCCGCACATGCGTTCGGGATTTCATCACCGAAATCGCACTTTGGGATTTGAGATTTTACTTAGTTGTTTTTTCGAAGACATATCCGCACGGCATTCGGGATTTCGTCACCGAAATCGCACTTTACTTAGTCATTTTTTGTGAGTCTTATCCGCATGTCGTTCGGGATTTCGTCACCGAAATCGCACTTCGGGATTTCGGGATTTTACCAGGTTGTTTTTAGAAGTCATATCCGCACGGCGTTCGGGATCTTGTTACCGAAATCGCACTTCGGGATTTCGGAATTTTACTTAGTCGGTTTTCAAAGTCATATCCACACATGCGTTCGGGATTTCGTCATCGAAATTGCACTTCGGGATTTCAGAATTTTACTTGGTCGTTTTTTCGAAGACTTATCCGCACGACATTCGGGATTCGGTTAACGAAATCGCACTTCGAGATTTGGGGATCTTACTTAGTCGTTTCGAGTCTTATCCACACGATATTTGGGATTTCGTCACCGAAATCGCACTTTGGGATTTCGGGATTTTACTTAGTCGTTTTCTGTGAGTCTTATCCGCACGTTATTCGGGATTTCATTACCGAAATCGCACTTCCGGATTTCGAGATTTCGCTTAGTCAATTTTCGAAGTCTTATACGTACGACATTCGGGATTTCGTTACCAAAATCGCACTTCGGAATTTCGAGATTTTACTGAGGGATTTTTCGTGAGTCTTTTTTTTTTTTTTTTTTTTTTATCAAACATCCCCCGATAGTGCTAACGATAGTGGTAAGAGCAACTATCGGTAGCACCAGGGGGAGGGCTCCTGTCTGTTGGTGGGGAGCAACACCTGCTGGGAATCGGTCCCACCGTCCCAGAGTACAGGTAAAGATGAGCAAATAGAAGAGGAAACGGGGGTCTCACCATTGCCCAAAGGCAGTGGCGCCTGCGGGAGGGTTTGCCTGAGGGCACAGGTTCAGGTTGGCTGCCTCTGAGGCCCCTTCTGTCGGGAAGCGTTAACACCCAGTCACAGAAGGGGTTATCAGGGGCGGTGGAACCTGCAATGCCAAGAGGCAAGCCCCTCACTCCCCCCGAGAAAATACGATATCAATCATCCACCCTGTTCACGCCCTCAAGGCGCAGTTAACTACCTAGACGCATCTATTCGCTACCAAGCAAGACAAAAATTTCCATTTCGGGGCCTGACGGCCTTTGCCAACTGACACAATTCCCATCTGGGGCATTCGCTTCCAAGGGGAACAAACATTTCGATTTCAGGGCCTTACAACCGCTGCCAGCTATCACAGTATCGATCCCACACAACCCATCTAATCAGTTACGCTCACGTAATCCCCCTCCCATAGTGCCATAACTATTCCCACGCTGACACCAACAACTCTACCTGGAGTCCCAAATGTCGTCTAATCTATTCGCGCCCTAGCGGCACACAAGTCTCTATGGGGGCATGCGTCCTCTGCCCTTTGCCACAGAATCTATCAGTACAACACGCCCACTGGCCACTATACCAGCTATCGGGCTGAAGGGCTTTCTGGTCGCCCATCCGATGTCCCTCCTAGTCCTGTTCACGTGGCGGCGGGCGGTCACTGTGATTCCTCCGGAAGGTCGGTCCCTACGTCAGGGATCCAGGCCCAGGCCCCAGGCTGGTCGTGAATAAGAACAAGTTTGGCGTATGCCGCCCACGTTTGCTGGAGCAGGGGCCACGCCATCGGCGCTTTCTGTTTGACGTCAGCTGCGATCGTTGTGCGGAGGTTAGCGAGGGTCATAGCTCTCAAGGCCGTGAAGGAAGGCGGGCGCTGTTGAAAGATGAGGCGGGTCCTGAGAGCCCTGGCCGCACCTGGAAAGGCCTCTCGAATAACCTCAATAGCATACGCCCGCAGGCCTCGGATAGGGGGGTTCCGAAGAGCCGGGCCGACCAACAGACAGTCGGTCCACTCGTCTGGAGGCATCTGGGCATAGTCTCCCCCCATCTCCTGCTTCCACCATTGCCAGAACTGCTGTTGCGGGGGGCACCCACACCACAGGTGGGGGATGTCCTCACATTCTGCAGCACAATGTGGGCACTGCCCGTCCGAGTGTGATGAGCGCTTCGCGAGCCACTGGTTCGTCGGGAGCGCCAGGTGAATGTTTAACCAGAGGAGCCCTGCATGCTTGAGGTTAGGGAGCGTTTGGAAGCGGCTGGCCATGGACTTCCATGCAGCAGGAGTCCACTTGATAGTGGAGGTTCCCTTCAACCAGCCTCATCTGGCCCAGCGGTACTGGAGTTCCTGATCCATTCGATAGGGCGCCGACAACGTTCTGTAGATTCCTTTGGTGAATACCTGGTGCAGCGGGAGGTTGCGGCGCTGGAGGCCTTGTCTCCTCCAGGTCCACATAGCCGGGTCGACCGCCAGCTGAGCCGGGCGCCGCTCCGGGCAGAAGGCACGGTGGGTGGTCCGGGCGAGGCCTTTCCTGTCCGTGACCACTGAGACGGATCTGACAAGGTCCCGGGGGAGCCACCCGTCCCTAGCCGGGGCGCGGATCAAGGGTTGACCAGGGGCGAAGTCGGAGGGGGGGGTTTCCCAGGCTTCGGCCACTAACCAAGTTTCGTCGACCTGCGCCTTGATCTGAAATAGCCAGCGGACCGGGTCTTCAGAGCTGAGAGTCACCCATTCCATATCAAACCGCTGCATCGTGCGAAGAGAGTCCACCCATGCCCCCGGAATCGCCCGTTTGATGCCTTGTAGCCGTTCCTTCTTATGCGTTTGGCCATCATGTTGCTTGAGCACCGCCGCCTCCTGCTGCCAGTCTCTGGTCTGTTGGTCCCAGAGGTTTGCAATTCTCGCCACCCCAGCTTTAAGCCAGGCTTTACCGAAGGCACCCTTGGGCCCGACCGAAGGGAACTGCTCACCGTTGTTGTCCCGAATCGACGGATTGCCAAACAGGGGCTGCTGGAGGACTTGGTGCGTCGACTCCGGCGGTTTGAGCTCCAGCGGGGCCAAGTCCCGCCACATCTTTAGAAACGGGGACCACAAAGCGCCTCTTTTAAGCTCTGTGAGGATGGCCGGTTGGACCAGGGCGAGCTCCATGTCTGTCGGGTGCAGTCGGGCAGACTCCGCCATGGTCTGTAGCGTCAGGATTTTCTAGGGAGCGTGGTCTTGCTCCAAAAGGAGCCAGTGGACCGTGCGCAGCTGCACGGCCTGAATCTGGGTGGCCGGGTCGATCAGGCCCAGTCCTCCGCCTGCTTTCGGTTGAATGAGCTTGCGCCAAGAAACCCGATGAATGACATGCGGGGCGAACGGATCGTTCTTCCAGATGAACTTGGAGAGCGCACTCCGGTATTCCCGCTGAGGGACCGGGCCCGGGGTTGACACAGGGGCTGCATACCAGAGCATCGCAGAGGCCGCTGTGTTCGCCAAGAGCACTCTATCAAATATCCCAGCGTCCACCGTTCTTCCGCAGAGAGCAAGTCGCGTGGCCACCTTCTTCATGAGCTGCTCCATCTGGGACCCGGCGGTGAGGGCCTCAGGGAGGTCGATGCCCAGGTAGGTTGCCGTTTCTGACATCGGCTGAACACGCATCCCCTGGAATAGGGGAGCTGCGGTGAGGTCCGGCACCAGCGAGACAGATTTGTGCCAGTTCATGCGAGCGCCTGCAAATTCCTCAAAGGTGGCCACCTGGTTTCGCAGTGCAGTGACACTAGCTGGCGTGGTTGCAGTGACCGCGCCCGTGTCGTCCGCAAAAGCTGATGATTTGAGTTGCCTGCCTCTCGGAAGTGGTAGCCCCACCAGGTCCTCGTCCGCTCTAAGCATGTCATGTAGATGTTTGATGTAGAGTGCATATAATGCCGGGGACAGGGGGCAGCCTTGGCGCACTGAGCGCGTAACAGCAATCGGGGCCCACAAGTAACCGTTAATAAGGAGTCGAGACGCCGCCGAGGCCAGGAGGCACTTCACCATGGAGAGGAATCTCGGGCCGATCCGCCGCCGACTCAGGCCTTCAAGCAAAAATGGCCAGGAGACTCTATCGTACGCTTTCTCGAAGTCCAACAAGACGAACGAACGCCAGGGGCGGGTCATGGCTCGGGGCGTGCCATACTATCTCCCGTGCCAGCAAGATATTAGTGAGAATCTGCCGTCCCGGAATGAAGCCTGTTTGCGTAGAGTCAACGATCTGAGGCAGCTTACATGCCAAGCGGTTCACCAGGATCTTAGCCAGCAGCTTATATGAGGCAGACAACAGAGAGATGGGCCGCCAATTGCGAATCTCCTTGGGGGGCCCCTTTTTATGTACCAGGATGATGGTGGCCAGGCCAAACTCCTCAGGGAGGGGTTTGACTCCCTGCCAGACATCGTTGAAACTTTCCAGCAAGTGCGGCAAAAGGGCGTGGAGGCAGGCTTTGATGGTCCCGGAGCTTTCCCTGAAGGCATAGCAGCCACCGCGTCGCCGATCTCCTACTCAGTGATCGGTTCGTCCAGGTCCCGCTGGTCTGAGTCAGTCAACGTTGCAGTGGTCTTATGCCAGATCGTCGGGGCCGAGGCTGTTGCAATTTCGTCCGGTGTCCATGATCGCTCTTCAGTCAGCAGGTAAGAGTAATAGTCATGGGCGAACCGCAAGATGCTCTGAGTATTATCAGCAAGCGGCCCATCCTCTTGAAATGGATCCTGGAGTGTCATCATAGTGGAGGCCGGCCGACTGGAGTGGAGTCGTCGAAAAAAGGTCTTCGTCATACGCCCCACCGCAACTGTCCATCGCGCTTTGTTCCTCAAACCCCACGATTCCGCGTCATTGATCTGCCATTCCTCCCATTCCACCTGCAGCGCCGCCCACTGCATCCACCATTCCTCCTCCCCTTCTTCTGCTGGCGGGTCATCGCCGAGTTCCAGTGCCCTAGTAATGAAGGCTTCTGCTGTCAGCCGCCTCGCCCGCTTAGACGCGAGCACCGCCTGCTTGAGTAATCTGGCCAAGGCCGCCGTTCCATCCGTCAACCACTGGAGGGCCGATTGGTCCGGGTGCCGAAGCTGTGTCCAATAAAGCCAGTGCTGCTTTGCTATGTTGCAGTAGCGCTCGTCTGGAAAGATCCACCCCGGGACAGTAGAGGGGGGGGGCCTAGTGTGCAGTGCAGTGGGGAGTGCCAGGGCAAGGGTAATCATCTTGTGGTCCGAACGGACCACCGGGATGAGACTAAAGTCGAGCAGACAAAGCATGGCAGCCTACGACAGCCAGGCCATGTCGATCCGGCTTCGGGTTTTAAGCGCCGGCCCGATCCATGTGACTCCTTTCTCATGGGGCAAGAGCATCCTGAATGCATCCTGCAGGCCCAGGGTGGTCAGAGAGTTTATCATGGCAAGTGCATCAGACGAGTAGGGGGCCCGGTGGGTGGATCGCGAGGGCGGGTCTACTATCGTGTTAAAATCACCAATCAAGATCAGTCTGTCCCCCTCGGGGATATGAACAGGGAACGCGATCCAGAATTGACATTTGGCTCTAAGCTGCGGGGGGGCGTAAACTGTTGCAAGAAGGATGCGCTCACCGGCCAAGTCTATGTATACCCATGCCCAGCGACCCTGTGTGTCAGCAAAGAAATCCCGGATTTCGGCCTTAAAGTACTTAGTGCAAAGGATGGCCACCCCCCCGCCCGTGCCTTCGGCCGGCGCCCAAAGCTGAAAGCGTGCTCGAAGGCTCGCCGTGATCGGTGGCAACTCCCCTTCTTTTAGTCTGTGTTCAGACAATTTAGTTTCTCACAAACAGAGGAGTTGAATTCGATCACGGTCCACCAATCCCTTAATTTCTTTCCATTTAGGGCTAAATGAGGCCTCCCCCAGCCCTCTTACATTCAACAATGCGATTCGCAGCAACTGTGTCATATTGCTATGGAGGGTAAGGCGCGAATAACACAACCAGTGTCTTATCAAACATTTCTCACAGACTTCCCTCAAACGGCCACAAAATTCAACAACTGGCACACACCTGACAAAGGTCACACATGCCTTCCATATTCCCCTCAAGTGTTAACTGGCAAAATGGGACCATGCTCATGCAGAAGAACCGCCTACAGAGTTATTAGTGCAGTCTACCCCCTACCCCTACCCTTTGCTGGTCCCTGAGTCAGCTGGCACCGGTGCTGAGAGGGGCGTGACGTGGCTCACTTGCAGCCGCCAACTCTCCCAGCGCGGGGGCCAATTACAACACAAAAAGCTATCCAGAACTACTGAGTACCCTTCCCCCTCTCTCTGTCATTCACAGTCTCCGGTATTAATAGTGGAGCGTGCCCTTCCCCCCTCTCTCTCGTTCACCTCCCTTCCATTGCGCCTCCTGTAGGGATGCCCCTTCCTACCAGGTGCCCCATATCCGATTGTTACGAATTCAGTTTCATTGCACCACGCGAAGGGGTCACCCATGCTATCTAGTTGACCAAACATCCGTTCCACGATATTTTACAGCGTAGCAATTCCCTCGAATCCCCACGCTCTATCCCAACTCAAGTCGACTTCAGCTATCACTAGCCTACCAACTTACTATTCCCTTCAGTCAATCGCACATGCCATTACACAACGTCAAGAGTTCTCGCCGTCCCATCGAGATCCACGGAGCAGAGTTACTTCGAAATGCTCCCGTGCTACGAACGACCATTCCACGGTAATTTACAGCGGCGCAAATCCCTCAAATCCCGTCTCTCTCTATCCCGCCTCAAGTCAACTTCAACTATTCGCTATCCTACTAGCTCACTATTGTCACCGGTCTATCACACATGCCGTTGCACAACGTAGAGAGTTCTTACCTTGCTGCCGAGGCCGATCTCGCCCACCTCGGTTCCCTTCTTCGCAGCATCCCCAGTAGACCTTCCTGAGCCGATTCCCTCATGTTTTGATGGATTTGCGCTTCAGCTGCGGAGCAGAGAACGACCGACGCAGGGAGGGCCGCGTAATCCGTGACGACTGCCTGCCTATCTGACGCGGCCCTCTGAGCCATGTCTCCGGGTCCGTGATAAAGGAGGGATGTGTAAACCGCGTGTTTTCAGGGAGCCGTTTATTGAGCAAAGCGAGGATCTCGACCGTTTCCTTATAAGTGGTTGCAGTCTCTTCCGGGTTGGGCAACCCCTCTGGATTTGGCAATGCTAATGTTAACGGCTCCAGGTCATTCCAGCAGAACAGGGGGTCCGCCACTTGAACCACAGGCTTTCGGGACTCAGCTCGAAGAAGAAAGCAGTAGGCCCCCAGGTTGTCCTCCGAATCGGCCTTCAACAGCAGTCGGATTGCCGACACGCCCTTCATTGGCAGTACATCACAGTCGGTGCCGAACCATTTTTCCGCAGTCACGATCGCCTGCTGAATGGACGGATGGGTTGTGAACTTGAGAAACGGAATGGTAGGGAGGTGCTCATTGTCTTTAGGTTTACACAGCAGGATCTGTAGCTTGATCTCCCTGAGACGGATGATCACAGGGACGATTTGAAGCCGGCCTTGCGAGCGAAGCTTGTCAAACTTCCCATCAAGTAGAAGCATCCGCCGGGCATGGGTATCGTTAAACACCTGATTTTCTTCCTCCTGCTGGATCGGTCCCGGTTCTTCCTCCTCCTCCTCAACCCTTTGATATTCCATCAGCTCCATCTCATCGACCTAAATTTGCGCGATCTCATCAAATCTTCGCCGCACGGGGTCAGGGTGGGGGGGGGGGGAAGAGATAGGACGCCGAACTACTCAGGACCAGGGGGTTAGCCCACCCCTCACCCAGCTGCGGTGGACCCATCTCCTCGCTAAATCTTTCCCCGCCAACCCCCCGGACCAGCCCCGACCATGGAGGGGAATCTTCTTCCTGCAATCGCCCCAGCGGGGCCGGGCCTGGAGGTGGCGGATGGGGGGGGGGGGGGGGAGGGGGGGGGCTCTCCCTAGGAGGGTCCAGCAGAGGCCTCTGGCGTTTAGCCAGCTCCGCCTCTGATGCACTGACGTCCTGGTCTGATGCGGCCATCGCCCTCGTCTTCCACCTTGCTCTGCCCCGCTTCTTGCTCCCCGCCCCTCGCTGAGGGTCCTGCATGGAGTCATCCCAGAGCGACTCAAGCTCTTCCCTGGCGGCCGCCTCCAGCTGGCGGTGGTCCAGAACATGGCTCGCCGACTGACGCTGTGGCTGGAGGGGCCGGGGTTGTTCTAGTCGAAGGTCAGTCAGACCCTGAAGCAGCTGTTCCTGCGGCGGACGTTTAGGGGGTTCCGCTCCCATCAAGACGATTCCCTGCTGGCCGCCCCACGCAGGGCGATTGATTTCCCGGGGAGGTCGGGCACCCGCGGAACTCTGGTCTCGCTGTGCTTCCACAGGGGCACTCGCATACCGGGAGCAACTCCCGGCACAGTCCTGCTTGGTTCCTTGTCTTTCGCCCGAGTCAGCGCCATCTCGCCTTCCGGCATCCCCTCCAAGACAGAGCCGGAGCACTCTTGTAGCCGGCCACCTTTCTTCAGGTCACATGGCAGCTTTGTCGTCCTCCCTTTCCTCTCCGTCGTTGCCTTGTCATCCCCCTCCGTTTGCTCTGCGGGGCCGAGTTGTCGGCTTCGGCCACACGCGGCGTCCCCGCCCCTCGATTCCACCGTCCTCTCTCGTTCCCCGCTTTCTGGCAGGGCTTCCGAGCATTCCAACAACCAGCCACCTGTTGTGGCGCCTTGCGTTGACATCGCCGTCTTTCCCTTCCTTCCTAGGGTTTCGTCATTCCGTCATTCCGTCATTCATTCCGATGGTCCCCTTGCTCCTCTGCCAAGGGTGGCGGTTGTAGGGGCTGGCCTTGCGGGGCGCTTCCCTGACTTTGCTCGCCTTCCCTCCATTGCCCCACCCCCGCCTGCTCCCCTCCTGTATCGACTTCCATGGCGATGTGCTCTATTACGATGACGGTCTTCACCTCAGCTCTAGGCTGGACTTGCTGGGCGATAATCTCTAAATGGTCCTCTGCCTGTTGTCCTCTCATCTCTCCATTCTCCGGCGTCTTCTGGTCCCGCTGGGTCCTCTCCATACCTTCGTGTCCCCCTGCCCTCCGTCCACAGGCTCGCTGGTACGCGTCCATCTGGATATCTTTGATTGGCGTCACCGGCTGTCCCGACTGGGCGGCTGGCTGTTTCTCCGGTCCATTCTGGGCCAGGCCTCGGGGTCTTTCTTCCTGAAGCTGTCGGTGCCCCACGTCACCAGGCATCTCCGCACCCGGTATCTCGCCCCGTCCCTACATCTTCCGGTCCTACTGGGCCACCTGAGGTTGCCCCGGGGCCCCGCCCGGGAGAAAGGGCGCATTCCCCACCTCCTTGACATCCCCCAGGCTGTCGTTCATAGGACAATTCCTCAACCATTTCACAGATATGTTAGGATACAAAACCTTCTCAAAAGGATTCCTCCTGTGGCTGCTTCTTTTGCTCCTCATTCCGCTCCGGTCCGTAGACTCCCCCTTCAAGCAGCATCTCCTTCAAATTTTTAACGTTTTGCGGATTTTGCTTCACCATCCAATATGTCAATGCCGATTGTCACTACCTCTATTGTTGTTTCTGCTTTGTCAACCGCTACGGCTACTCCGTCTTCTGTCAGCTCTGTTGTGCCCGCCCTTACACCATCTAGAGACCATGTGCAGCTCCATACAGGACCCTTGGGACAACCAAGTTCTTCTAATTTTAACATTGCCATATATGACTCTCTTGAATCTATTGGTCTCAAAAAGACACTTGCACACTTGTCCCATCTTGACAATTCTCATGAAATTCAAGATATTGTGGAAGCACTAGAGAAATTGAATACGAGCATGAACACTTGGAGGTGTGTGGATGTTTTAATTCATCTCAATTACAATTGGCAAGGGCAGGGTCAATTCGGAACTTTCGAGGAGTATCGTCGCAAAGTGTTGCAACAAGTTTTTGTTCGTGAGGTGCTGCAAGAGTATCGTTCCAGCGAAGGAAGTTGACTGGTCTTATAATGCTCCCGTCTGGGCAGGGGTGGACGGCGACTGTGTTGTCGGCCCCCTTGTTGGACGTGAGGTGCCTGCCAGCATGTGCTGCTGTGATCGACATTGCAGTGGGGAGCGATTGAAACCCCCCACGGGAG